AGGAATAAGGGTTTGGTATATCTGTGGTGCTTGGTGCTTGTTAGGTTGGAAAGTGTAGTTACTAGCTGGGCATGGCCGTGCCAACCTGTAATCCCAGCACTCTGGAGGCTGAAGCAGGGGGATCAAAAATTCCAAACCATCTTGGTCAATTTAATTAGATCCTGTCTCAAAATCAAAACTTAGTAAGGGGGCTGGGGATTTAGCTCAGCGACATAAGCACCTGCCTTGCAAGCAGCCGGTCATGAGTTTGATCCCTGGTACCAATAAAAAAAAAAACTTAGTAAGGGCTGAAGATGTTGCTCAGTTGTAGAACACTGGCCCAGCAAGCATGAGATGGTGGGTTCAATACCCAGTACTACTGAAAGAAAGAGAAAAGTAGGGGGGGAAGAAGGAATAAATTACTATAGCTAGTATGAGGAAATAAATTCAGATTTGTGTATTGACTTGCACAAATCCATACACCTCTTAAGAATTAAAGATTGAATTTGGAGAATGAGAAATCCAGGTCAAGGTTCATTTAGTACAGTTTGCGCAACATTAACAGATGAATAAGCTGGTGGAGTCCTGGATTGTGTTGCAACCATTCTAGAGCCAGCCATAGAGGAAGTGGTGAGTTAACTGACAGTAGCCAAAAAAAAAGGATGGAAGACAAGATTGGCATGATGACACATGCCTACTTAGGAGGCTGAGGCAAGAGGTTTGCAAGTTTCAGGCAGACTAGGCAATGTAGTAAGACACTATCTCAAAAAACAAAAGAAAAGCAAAACAAAACAAAACTTGGTATTTCTCACCAGTAGAGACCTTACCCAGCAGGCATAAAGACCAGGGCTCAAACCCAGCACAGAAAAAAAAAAAAAAGCAATAAATTCCCTGTGAGAAATTAAAGAGGGAATATCACTACAAAGATGAAAAGAATAACTTTATGTTGAAAAATTTGATAGTTAAAATTTTTTTTGATAATTTAGATGGACTATACAATACTTCCAAAAAACAAAAATTTTCAAAGGTGACTCAAGGCGAAATAGAAGTTAAGTGTGGTGGCTTTGACCTATAACCCTGGCATGGTGGGAGGTTGAGGCAGGAGGATCATAACTTCAAGCCCAGCCTGGGCAATTTAGTGCCTTAGTGAGGCCATGTTTCCTCCCCCCCCCCCCAAAATTAAAAAGTGTTGGAAATACAGCTCAGGGGCAAGGCCTTGGATTCAATCCCCAGCTCAAGAAGGAGGAGAACAAGACAAAGGAGCAGAAAAAAAGAGGGGCTGAGGTTTAGCTCAGTGGCACAGCACTTGCCTGGCAAATGCAAGGTCATCAGTTCATCCCCAGTACAAAAAAAATAAAAAATAATAAATAATAAAAAAAATTCAACATGGTAAAGATGTCAATTCTCAAATTTAATTAAGAACATTTATGAAATTCCAATAATAATATAAGTAATGCTTTCTGTAGAAATTAACCAATCTAAAATTCATATGGAAATCCAAAGGAACAAAGATAACCAAAGTAATTTTGAAAAAGAAGCAAGTTGTGGAATTTATAGTAACTAAATTTGAGACTTACCATAAAACTATTATAGTTAAGAATCAATTTACAGATCATGGAGCACAATGGGAAATGCAGAAGTAGTCTTTTATTTTTGATAAGATTCAAAGTAATTTACTAGGAAACAGTAGTCTCTTCCACAAGTGGTGCTGGACTACGGTCATGTCTGGCTTGTACACATGCTTTAGCTAAGTTAACGACAAATGAATGAAAAACAAAACATAAAACTAAAGTCATAAAACTTTTAGATAGCAGCATGGTAGGAAATCTTCATGGAGTGGGAGTAGGCAAATTTTTTTTCAGATAGTATACATAAACTAGAAGTCATAGGAGAAAAAAATTGATAAATTGAGCCTAGTCAAGATAAAAAGGCTGGGGATATAGCTCAGGGGCAAAGTGCCTGCCTGGCAAGCGCAAGGTCATGAGTTTGATCCTCAGTACCAAAAATAAATAAATAAGTAAATAAAACGACTACTTCTCCTTGAAGGATACTTTTAAGAAAATGATAAGAAGGAAAAAACATTTTTTGTACATATATCTGACAAAGGGAAATATGTGAAATCTACAAAGTCCCCTTGTAACTTGGTAAAATGGGCAATACATATTTCCTACAAAAAATATATAGATGAACATATGAGAAAGAGTGTGGTGCCATGAACCATCATGGATACACTAACTAAAATCATCCTGAGGTACCACCACATCCATTAGAATGATTACAATTAAAAAGGCCAATAATACTAAGTGTTGGTAAAGAAATGCAGTTAACAGGAGGCCTCACACAATTGATAGGAATGTAAAATGATACTGTTGCTTTGGAAATACGAACGATATTCCTAAAATAAATGTTTTATTGTCTGTGGATTTTACTACAGAAGGTTGATGAAATATTTATACTACCAGAGAAAAACAATCCTGTATCCATGAAAACTAAAGAGTTCATGGAGATTTTATTTTTATAAGTCAGATAATAATCAGAATTTTATAATATATAATCAACAATTTCATTTCTGAAAGCACCTGGAAAGGATCTGCTTTCAAGCTTATTCAGGATTCGGACAGAATTCAGTTACATCTAGCCATGGATCCGCTCCTCTGGCAGCCAGCCAGGGCTTGTCATCATCCAGGGCCGGAGCTCCATGGTGAGAGCCCGCTCACGTTCCTTGGCTCGTGAGCCTGCCCCTTCCAAAGTAAGCACAGACAGAAGGTCTTTTGCATAAAGTCTCTCCCATGTTTTAACTCTTTTTTTTACTAGGGAAAGACCATCCATTTTAAAGGCTCTGCTTACTAGGCCAGAATCAGGAAATACTACAGCTCCTCCATTTCTCCCACCCTTTCTATCTCTCTCTCTTCCTTCATTCTCCCTTTCATTTATTCTGTGCTCCCTGCTTCTTTCCTTTGTTCCTCTCATCCTTTTTTCTTTCTTCCTCTCTTTGTCTAATTTTCATTTTATGTATTTATTTATTGGTACCTGGGATCATGCTTGCTAGTCAGGCACTTATTCCACTGAGCTAAATCCCCAGCCCTCTATTTTTTTTTTATCTTTCTTCCTTTCCTTTTTCCTTCTTGTTTTTTTTTCTCACTTCCTTCCTTTTTCCTCATTGCTTTCCTCCTCCCTTCTTCCCCTTTTCCTTTTTTTTTTTTTTTTTTTGGTAAGTAATTGTTTAAAATTACGGACTGACAAGACAGATAACAAATTGCACAACTTTGGGCTGCAGCTTTTGCTGAGCGGAACAAGTGCCACCTTAGCAAGCACGAGGTTGTAAGTTCAATCCCCGGAACCAAAAAAGGGAAAAAAGTAAAATTGCACAACCATGTGGGGTACGGTGGGATATTTCTGTACATTTTTATATTGTATGTTGATCAACTCAGAATACTTAGGTCATCTATCAACTCAAACATCACTTGTGATGAAATAGAGTATCTCTTAAAGTCAACTGTGGGTGTATAATGAACTAATTATAGAAGAATTTGTCCTATTGGATCCTTACACACACTAGGGAAGGGAATTAATATACAAAGGCTTCTGCTACTCCTAGCAGGGTTCTGGGATACTGTGGACTTCTAGAGATATTTTCTAGGTACTTATTATCCTGTACAAGGAATTGGAATTTTTTGTTTGTTTCTGTGAAATTTTTGTTGTTGTTGTTTTGAGACAGAGTCTCACTGTGCAGTTCAGGCTGGCTTTGAACTCCCAATGATCCTCCTGCCTCAGCCTCCTGACTGTTGGGACTATAGGCCTGTGCCACTGCAGCTGACTTCCTGAACAAAAATTGGACAATAAATGCACAGCATGTAGTGAGGTTTTATATTTATTAAAGATAAGAAAAGAAATACAAACTGCAGAGTCACAGTGGGCCACCATGAAAGGAAGAGCACCCATGAGGTTAATGGCTACTGTCTTGGTTACTTTTCTTTCATTGCTGAGACAAAATACTGGATGTCCAAGTTAGAGAAAGAAAGATTTACTCAATTTAGTTTTTGAAGGTTTCAGTCCATACTCAGCTGGCTCCAAGGCAGGATGGCATGAGTGGCTAAGGGGCAGCCATGCATAGTGGCCACAAGCAACAAGAGATAAAAGGGCAAACAGAGAAAAAGCACGCCTCCTTCCCTCCCTTATAGCGTGTACTGGTTCCTCACCCCTGGGCAGGTGCAGCACTCACACCACTAACCCCAGCACTAGATAATTGGTCAATCACAAGTGGTAAAATCAGTTGTCTCCCTAACTGTATGAGGCTTTGGAGGCACACTTAAACAGGCCATAACAGATGTCATCTTTTGTAGTTCCCTGTTTCTCAGGCTGGCATCAGATCTAGGCTTTCCTGCTTGATCACATGCTACAGAACTGAAGACAGCATTTTCTGATTGGCCCCAGGTACAGGGCTTGAGCACACGTGTCCTGGATCTCTGTAATTGATGGGCTATGCCCACTTGCTCAGCTGGCTGTTTGTGCCCTAATCTCCTGCCTCACCACCACAATAAGATTAGCATAAAACTTAAAGAAAAATGTTAAAGAAATTTCAGCAAACTATTATGTTGCAGGTGTTGAATGACCAGCTATAATTGCTTTTGTTCTGTTTTATTTTACTAAATTTTGGGGGAGGGAATATATTGTGTACTTTATCTTATTGGTAAATCACAAAAAGTAAGGATATTTTATTAGTGAATATTACTGCCAGGTTTGTTTGTTCTTTTTTTAATTTAAAAAAAAATTTATTTTTTATTGAGACAGAGTCTCACTGTGCAGTTCGGGTAATGTTGAGCTCGCTTCATGGCTCAGGCTGGTCTCAAACTCACAATGATCCTCTAGCCTCAGCCTCCGGAGTGCTGGGATTACAGGCTTGTGCCAGCATGCTCGGCAACTATTAGTTTTTATTAGTGAATGTACTTGTTTTTCATGCGTCTTTCTGATGAGGTTCAATATGCTCAGGATTAACCTTTATATTTGCTTATCTCTTCTAGAACCTGATAACGGGAGCAGTTCCAAGAAGGCTTAAGGTGAGAATAAGAAATAACCATCATGAGTGAGCCTTACCACTAACATAGACCACCACACTTGTGTCTTACCACAATGGCAGAGTGTATTGAACATCAGGAGATGCACAGGTTATTCGGTTTCACCTGATTTACCTCTCCTGGTACCTCCAGTTTCATTTGATAGTTGTGACCACAGTGACTGCGTGTTACTTGTTCCATTCTGATCTTAATTCCAATCTGTACTAATACCTATAGCTCTCAAGCCAGACACGGCAATTGCAAAATAGTATGTGGTTACAGAAAAATTAAGAAAGGATAAAGGACAGGCTATAAAGAGGTCAAAGCAAAGAACTGGCCTGAAGGCAGAATTAACTGTAGATGGTCAGAAAAGGGTAAACCCATACAGAACATCCAGGTGAAAGTGTCTGACAGCTTTGGAGACAGCATTAGCAGCAGGGCACCTGAAGGCTGCAGTATGGGGACAGCGTCCCAAGAGTGTTGCCTGGGGATCTGGAGATGTGCTCACCTGGCGTCCTGCTGCACCAGCAAACAGAAGCATCAAAATGACACCAAGGGTTGGAGACAATTTAGACTGACAGGCTCTGGTTGAGATCATTCCCAAAATACCAGGATCTGATCTCTGGTGTTCTAGGGCATGTATGGGCTAAGCGAGCAGGAAGTACAGAGAGCCAGAATGGCTTGTCACTTGGGGATTGGTTCTTGTCATATGCATCACAGTGACCAGCTATAAGTCACAGTGACCAGTTGTTTACTGGAGACAGAAGCAACTGGAACTGCAACAGAAACTATTACCTGGGCAACTGAGAAACTGCAGTCTACAGGTAGGAGGGGCAGGGCATTTCTGAGCTGAGGAACTTCAGATACTGTTTTACAGGGCAAGTTTGCTGGTTCAGTGACTGCAGGAAGAGAATATTCAGTGCGTGTCATTAAGATGTCCAGGAAGGGATTATTAGGTGGAGATTTTAGGGTACTCTCAAAGGTGGAGTCTTCAGAGAAATGAGATGCATGACTCTTTGGAATTGAAATATTTAAGTGCTTTGGTGGTGGAAACCTGTGGAATTTGATCTTGATCTTAGTTTGGTGAGTAGGGGCGGAAGGCCCATCCATGGCAAAATCATGACCTATTCACAGGGGAAAGCCTGATTTATAGGTGAAAGGTGTCATCAGTCTCTTCAGAGATGAAAGAAGACCCTTTGCAAGTAAACAGGGAATGGCTGAATTCATTGGCAGATAACACAGGAATTGCCCACGATTACTGTGTTCTGAGAAAAGAGAAAAATAAGTAAATAAATAAATGAAACAAACTGAGTTTGTATCCTGAAACTGTTACAGGCAGCTGAGTTAGTTAGAAATATTACAGGCAGTCAGACCAGTCAGGGCCCTCAAAGGAGCCAGAGCACAAGTTCAGATAACTTGCAGCGTTGGAAGAGACAATCACCACCTGCAGCGGGCCAGATCTCAAGATAAAAGGCAAAGCAAATACACCCACATCCTAAGGATCCACGTTGCAAATAGTTCTCTATCACCCTGAGGAAGTCAGGAGTCCCAGCCCTCTACAGGGAGAGTCATTGCTTTTGGCCCCCTTACTACATGACTCGCTCCCCTATTTGCTCCTAATTCAATCAATTTTACCTGAGCAGTTAATCCTATTGGTTGACCACAGCTTTGTCCCGCCTCATGGCCACCTTGCAAATTCCCATTTTTCCCCACCTTTGACCCATTTAACCTCATGATTTTACTCTATAAAAGTCCCTGAAAAAGACAGAGTCCTTGGCAACCTGCTGGGGACCCTTTCTGTCTCTGACAGAAGCTTTCTATCTCTCAATAAATATATTCTACTCTTAATCTCCATTGTTTCTAAAATTCATTCTTCAGTTTTAGAGAACACGAACTGGACATAGTAGGTTGAGAGTTTCATTCCCCTATATCACAACTATACTATTTTTAAAAATTATGTTTCCTTGTCTCTTTCAGCCTACTTCATTTCTCCTATCCTACCTCAGCCCATAAGAATAAATGGCAACCCTGTGGCTTGCTTACAGTCTTAGGCATCTTTCCTGTGGGACAGGGGGTGGTGAGAGGGGCAGGAATGAGACAGGCTCTCATGATGAGGAGGCCAGCCTGAATTCACTATGTAGCCCAAGCTGATTGTGAATTTGAGATACTTCTACCGCAGCATATCACTTGGCCCATCAAGACATGGCCCATCATGCTTGGTTTGGATGTCTTTCCTCTTATGTGTCTTGGGCTAGATGGTTCTATCATTTGCCTGTGTGTTATGTTTGATAAGCTCATGTGCCTGATGTCTCCAATAATGGTTAGACGTGGCCATGTGTCTATGTGCGTCTGATTTAGTTTGACCAATTCACAGATGGTAATTTTTAATTCGATGAAGAAGTCATTTATCAGTCTGTATCTTATGCTGGAGAGATAGCAGACGATAAACTTTTCATGGCCTGTTCTTACCCTACAGTGTGTACTTCTTTTCTTACCTTTAATACAAACCTAAGATGTTGCTACATTTTGTATATGTCCTTGTCCAACTCTTTATTCAGGACATTGAGAACCTATTTATGTCCTTGTCCAACTCTTTATTCAGGACATTGAGAACCTAGAAAAAATTTCTAGAAGGAACCCACAATGCCCCAGAACCCTAGTAACAATCCCATCCCAGCACTTACACCCAAATGGAGCAATTTGGGGAAAAGCTGCAGCCAGGAAGCTGGTAACCTGCACAATAAGTTAACCGAAGAGGGCAACAGCAGTTTATGAGCTCTTAATAAAATCTGTAAGTTAAAAAGTCTAGGTGCATGAGAAGTTTAAACATCAAAGCTGACCTTTTATGATTCTGAGCTGTTGGCATCTATCATCAGAATTGTTTTAATCTATTTCCCTGTTACACAATTTTATCACATGAATTCTCATGAAAATGAAATTATTGTTGCTCAGTTGTTATCGGTTCAGGCTGCGGATCTCTCCAAACAGAGAAGCTTTCTTGTGAGCCAGCTGCTCTATTATGTGTGTGTAAAACACACATACTAGAGAGAAGTGTGTGGAAAGTTCTGGATTGCAGATGGAATCAGTTTGGCTCTTCAGCCAAATTCTTGAGATTGTACTGAAATCATTTATACCCTGAAGCACCATAATTATTCCCATATGGATGAATTCATTGTATGTCTAGAGTAGCTCCTGAAAATATTTGGACCCTATTTAGCTGTTCAAGCAATTCTTAAAAAGCATAAGACAGATTCCTCGTCCTCCTTCCCACTCTCAATCCCAATTCTGTCTCCTAACTTTCTCCTAAATCTTTGCTAGGTCATCTGACTCTAAAGCTTCCTGATTTTGAATTCTCATTCACTTTAACAAACTGAGGCATTTTGGAGAGCTGGTTCTTGAAACTGCTCTCTGTTTTGTCCAAGGAAAAATAAATTTAAATCAATGTAACTGTTTTTAGCCCTGTTATTCCCTTAGTTATATAGGCTAGGAACCCCACTTGCAAGTCAACTACTCTGATAGATAACTGCGAAGAATTCACAATTACTTTGAGTTAATTTAACTAGAGAAGTACCATATAACTGAATCTAAAAAGGACCATGAGAAAAAATGGTAATTTAAAAATCTGTCAGATTTCTTGCTTTTCTTTCAAATAGTTATGTAAAGTTTGCATCCTACCTTTCCTTTTCTTTTAGTCAGTTAGATTTTCTTTTTGCTTTGTGGGCAATGCTTTTATTGCTGTGTGAAGCAAAGCTTTTATCTGCTATCTAGCTTTATCCCTCTTTTGTAAAACTGACATTTTGTGAAATGGCACAAAAACAATATTAACCATACCAAGTAAGAGCTGTTAACATTTATGAGCCAGCGCTTCAGCCAGCACTTTAAATGTCTTATCTTGCTTAATTCTCAAGGCGACCATTCGGGGAGCTGATTTTTTATCATCATTATTCAAATAGGGAAGCTTTGCCTAGAGAGGTGCAATAACTGTCCCTGGGTCACAGATCCACACTACATTGTAGTTCTGATTACAGACTTAGTTGAAGAGGCCGCGCTTCCAATTGTTTCTAAATCCAAAATGATTTAAAACAAGACTACTACTGCCATCTTCTGGTGGCAGGTGGAACTTCACGGTTGCTCAAGGAAGAGGCTGTGCAAACAAGTTAAAAGGTTGCAACCAGAGTTTTATTTCGCAAAGGCTGCTGTCTTCTATCATAAGTGTTTGTTTGTTTATTTATTCATCTTCATGGTGCTGGTGATAAAATACTGGACCTTGAGCATGCTAAGCAAGCACTGTGCCACTAAGCTTCATCCTGTCCCTAATGCTAGTCTTACAGAACAGTGCCTGTCACATTGAAAGTATGCAGCATTTGGGAATTAACAAATGGAGATCGAAACAAGGTATCACTCCTGAGCTCAAGTAATCCTCCTGCCTTAACCGCCTGAGTTGCTGAACCCACAGGCATAGGAAAAGGCATCTTCTAGACAGGGAAAAAAATAGGTTTTATTAAAAATTAATAGGGAATCTTACTAAAAACAGCTTTTGTATCTACAGTTAGAGCCATTAGAAAGACAAAGGGGACAGAAACTAGACTCAGAGAGGTGCCAGGTAATGCAATTACCATAAGAGTTTATCAGAGATAGTGAACAACGTGCAAAGACGTCAGAAACTTATATAAAAGACCAAAGAAACAAGTGCACCTCTGATATAGTGCAAATAATATGTAAAACACACATACACACCTATATATATGCACATGCATGTATATACTCACTTTAGCATCACTGTATTATTATATCAGATACACATATGAGCTTTACTTAATCATTAACTCTTTTTTTTTCTGTCTTTTTCATTTTTATCGGTACCGGGGATCGAACTCACGACTGCCTGCTTGCAAGGCAGGTACTTATGCCGTTGAGCTAAATCCCCAGCCCCTATCATTAACTCTTTACTTAATTACTAACGCTAAGCTACCTTTCTATAACACTCTCCCTACGTTTGTCTA